CATTAAAACGTATCAACATCAGCAGTAAATAAATCAGTGTTATTGGTGAAAATTTATTTATTTCTTTATTGGATCATGTTATTTAAGTCATGATAATTATGTCTGAAAAATAATATCACCCAAATGTCCGCCAAGGCATCGGCGGCACACTTCCACTCAATGGTCAAAATTTTTGATGACGTCTCTGCATAGTTGCTCCTCGATCTCACCAATATGCCTTATTAACTCATCCTTCAACTCTTGAATTGTTGGCTTGTTGGCATTGACCTTACTTTTGAGATGACCCCAAAGGAAGAAATTTAAAGTCGCACGATCGCTGTTTCGAGAGATGATCCAACCTGGTAATTTCTCATTCAAATTCTGTTTGAACGTCCATTTTCGTAATAGGCTTCGATAATTTTAACACGTTGTTTGATTGCAAATCTTTCCACGGTTGAAATTGCTAAAGACTTAAGTTGTTAAATCTGAATGAAAAAGAAAAAATCGTTAGACGCTTAAACATAATTCACATTTAAAATCGGTTCAAGTTATCGGAACATCCTTTATATAATGCATGGAGGTCTACTCAAACAAGTCTACTAAATAAATATAACGTTTACAAGAAGAAATGAAGTCAGGTGAGAAAAAAAGATATTCATTGCTTAAAAAAAGTTATTCTGTTTTCGTTTCGGATACGAAAATAAAATAAGGTGATATAAATTTAGAATTCTCCTCACAAGAGATGTGCACTTCTTGAATAGCGAAATTGAGCTTTGCCTTGCTGTGATAATTTCCATTATAAAGCGCACTCTAAATTGAATGTGGTTTTCCAGAATTAAAAGGAAATGCAGTTTCAATTCGGAGACACATTTATTTTCGTAAAACTTTTGATGTCTAGACACGTTGGCATTAATTTCACTGTTGGAAAAATGAGAGTGTCTACTCAAACACGTGTGTCTACTAAATAAAACGTTTCTAGTAATGAGAAATATCGGTAATTAAATAGCTACTGTGGATATGCTGTGAACATCTTTCTGAGACGGAAAGCTGATATTCAGCATACAGTACTGACACATACATACATACACACACACATATATGTGTATATATATTAAAGCGCCAAGTAATTAGAAAAAACTTATTTTACACAACGTATATGTATTCTACGGCATATTTATAATTTCAAGGAAAATCAATTCAATTCAAGAGAATAACTCAACTAAATATCGGGCAACGTTGTAATGGAAGAACTTCTCGTTGTCAAAATTAATGAATAGGTATTCGATCCTCACTAGGTGCCCCATTTGTCGGACTTGAACATCATTGTCGCTCTGCATAGAAAAACGTTGGTCAGTTCATGGAGGACACACATAATGGATTAGCAATCTTGTCTCGTCTTGAATGAATAGTGAGTTCGATCCCTTGTACCACATCTAAGCGCCGCTTAGAAAATCATTTCAGCACTCTGTCTGTCTGTCTGTCTGTGTGTGTGTGTGTGTGTGTGTGTGTGTGTGTGTGTGTGGAAATATATATAAGTTGTACCATTACCTTCGTAGTTAAGCTGTAGTTATTAACTAAAAATTAATCTGAAACTCTCAATATATAATATTCGAGCTTTGTGATTAATATTCACTCATGAAGTAAGTGCCTTGCAAGGGAATGGATGTTGAAAAATAATTATTTATTAAAACATATAATTATTTTGCAATATGCATATATTTATATATGTGTGTGTGTGTGTGTGTGTATAAGTGTTTGTATGTGTTTGTGTCTGTTGAAATTCATAAGTATATACATTGAAAAATAATTATTTAAAAATCATTTATTTTACACCACACACACACACACACATGCACTTACACACATTTGTATGTGTATGTCTGTGTGCCTATCTACAAGTCTGTGTATCTATCATTACGTGTTGACATCCAACAAAATACTTAAACATTAATTCTTCTGTTTATATAACATGTACGTGGAGTGACTTTTTTCATAGATTCTTTGCATTTAAACTTGCTTTTCCTCTGTGTTCACATTACATACATACACCAAGGAGTTACAATCAACACACACCTGTACATATATATATATATATATATATATATATATATATATATATATATATATATGTTTATTGCTTGAGAATGTAGAAAGGTGAGAGCGAACAACTTCCTTGCAGTTTTAGCACCTGTCATTGTTTGAACAATGAGAATTCGTGCTTATCATGCTAAATGTTGATACATAAAATCAGATAAAATGAAAAACGCAAAGACGTGACGTAAAGATGAAGGCGACGCGAAGTTGAACAATGAACTGGCTAAGAGAAAGTTTGTGGAATCAATAGATTGAATGCAAGAACAACCTGAGGAAAAGTCACGATATGTTCACAGATTCGATCTATGATAACGTTATGCCATGTGCGCGCCACTTTATGACTGTCGACATTGTATATTCTATTTCAAATTTTAAGTTCTGCATATCACGACTAGGACGTCAAAATGTATTCTATTTCGAAACTGCAGTGACATTTTGCATCTGAATTATGGATATGGATTTACGATTTTTCGTTCTGTTAATCGGAACGTTTTTTTATCATTTAATGCTATTCACTGCCAAAGAATTTGTTTAAAATAAAAAATCTCTTGCAACTTTTTCTTTTTATTTATAAAGAAATATGTAAGTAAATAGATGCTATTACATTATTTGACATTTTGTAAAAATATTCATTCACAATTATTCAATAAAATTTGATGAAAACATTAGATAAAAATGAATTATTTTAATCAGACTTAATATTCAACAAACATTCAAAAGAAAGAGTAATAAGACAAGGGTATATCTTCTCTCCGGATTTATTTAATTGATACAGTAAGGCGATCCAAAGACAACAGGGTGGCCTAACATGATATACTATTGATAGGTACATTCTTAATAACGTAAGATACACAAATGACACTGTGTTAATGATCGAATTTTATTTTAATCATTACACCTCGAGTAAGGTGACAATGCCACAGCTAAGCAGATAAAATGTAAATGCAATGTCAATCGTCATCTTTTGTCCCCTGTTCTTTTATTGTCTTTTCTCCTCAATAATGTTTTTATTTTCTTTCACTCTCAATAACCACTTGCTTCTTGGTGACATTGTCCCCTTGCTTGGAGTGAAATGATTAAAAATGAAAGTCGTATGGTGGCCACTAAGAGAAACAAGAATCAAGAAGTGACAAAGGTTTAATAATATATGCCATATCATAACAGACGGTGGAAAAGATTAGCAGTCACATCAGAATGGTAAAATTTGCCTTCCAAAATCTAAACACAGAATTCAGAAACAGGAACATTTCATTAGAAACAAAGAAGTGGGTGCTGAACTGCTATGTAAGATCTATCATCCTATATGGCAATGAATGCTGGGTAATTTCTTCCCACAAGAGGACGAGACGAAGCGACAGATGTTATTCTACAGAATGATGCTGATAATACCATAGATAAAATATATGAACAACGAATACGTTTTAAGTAAAGTTTGCGTAATTTTATTTTATATCAGAAATAGATAGTTTCTGGGGCGTATAAAGAATTGGATGGTTTGTTTCAGAGTATCAAGCACCTTTAGATGGGTTAGTCAAGAAGAGCAAAACAAAAATGGCAAATAAGCTATCTAACGAGCTTATGTAAATGGATGATCATGCTGTCCAGTACTACAGGCCTACACATGTTGCGATAAGGACTAGAACTGGAGGTGTATTTCAATATGTTTGAATTTATGAATTATTTGTAGAAAATTCGACTCTTTTGAAAATACCACGCACCACATAATTCCTTATTCATATTAAGAGGTCATCCATAATACGCATCCTAAAATTGTGCTGAAAGTGTTGGAAAATGCTTCATCAGGACACATAGGTTTAGAGCGAGGTGTGGGAATCAAACCCTATAAATTGACATCCTTTCCAATTTCATTACGGGCAGGCACTTCCTACCTCTTATTCAAGCTGTAATGGAAGATATTGATCAAAATTTCCGATCATTAAATTCTAAAAGGAAATGGAAATACCCACAGTGAACATGTTCGATAAAAGTGACTCACCTGATTTTTTTTTAATAAATGTTCTCTTCTCCGATGAAACAAAAGTTGAGCTAAATTCAAAGGATAAGCGATCTAAAAATCTGAAGAATGAAGCTTTGAAAGCTCTTTTGAATTTAGCAGTAAGTTAATGTTCACATCCGTTCAGTATAGTGTTCTGGGGATGCTTTTCTTTTCATTGAACTGGTTTCTTAAACCTATTGAAAAGACCCTCAGGAGCTAGAAGTAAAAGATAGTTTTAGAGTCTTGTCTCACTCCTTCTGCTGAAAGGGTGCAAATCGACCCCACCAAGTTAATTTTTATTCCCTGTCCCAAATAAAAATTGATGAAGGTATCCTTTGATGAAACCAGGTGAGTGTTAGGACATGATGCCCCAATCTCCTGACCTCAACCCATAAAACTATGGAGACATTTTAAAGTATAGGCTCTCCAGAGAAAGCAGTTGAGCATGCTATTCTAATTTGGTTTTATGATAATTATTTTACATTTGTAAGTGATGTTAGGTACACATGATTGTGTTTGACATTCTTATGGGGTCGTAATTGCTGAATGTTAGTGTCAAATTTTCAAATGTTTGTGGTGAAAAAACTGAAATCGATCTATGAAACGGCTATTTTTTAAAGATTTTTTTAAACTTTTCATAATATGCACCCCTAATTTTGCTTCTTTTTTTTTTTTTAGAAAAATGCGTATTATACATGGGGAATTACTGTAAGAATTTTTGGATCCATACTAGAGAATAATCACGTGTTTAAATTTAAATAAATGGTAAATAAATACCTTTTTGAGGAAATTAAATATTAAACAAGACAAAGACGCTACCTAAACTCCAAGCTCATAAACAGATAGATAGATAGATAGATAGATAGATAGATAGATAGATAGATAGATAGATATAGCGGATATGCTCTGAAAATAACACTGAGACTTGAAGCTAATATTCAATATGAAGTATTGATTTATATGTCCATTTGTCTAGATAGATAGATAGATAGATAGATAGATTATTCTCAGATTGGAACATCCCCATAGATAGATTTAGATAAGCCGATATTTTATTTTTGTTTTTTATATGAGAACTGCGATTAAATTGATCCGTGATTAATACAGTGAAACACAAACGCAGCAAAGGAAAATCCAAAAAGTTATATATTTTTATTTCTAAACATTCTCCAAAATTCAGCAAGAAATATTTATACATACTGTTTTAAAATAAACTGTTTTCTTTTTAAACTTATACTTTCCACTAAAATAACATTTCAAATTAAAAAAAATTTTAGTTAAATAATCAGATTTTGTAATTTCAAAAATACAAAAAATTTTCCGAAAACAATTATTTTATTGTTTCAAACGTATTTAAACAAGAACAAGATTTATTTTGAGAAATTGATTTTTTCTAATTGTAAACTATTTGAACTTAATTTTTTCTCTAGATTAGCCCAGTAAATAAAAAAGCAAAATTGTCTTGCAAAAAGTACACCCAAAGAGCAGCTTAGTGAAAATATTCTGACAAAAATTTTTCTAACCAGTTGGAAAACTTTGACACAAAAAAACTCAAAATATTTAAATGGTTCAAGGGATGTATTCCCGTCAGGGCGTGAACAAAAAAAGATTTTTACGAAATTGGTTACGGGCTCGAGTTTTTGACCTTAACCGAATTAAACCGTTTTAATGGCCTTAAGGATAAAAAATTTTAAGATAGTACAATACGAAATGTAATTGGAGAAATAATTTTCATTTCAGATTAAAGACAAATCTTTAACGAAAGGTTTTCCAAATATGAAAAGGCAATATTTCTTTGGTTTTTCAATCGAATTCACAAACATTTTATACGTATCCGTTGAAATAAATTAAATTCGTCCTAATGAAAATATATAGGAACATTAGCAAATACAAAAAATAATAGCAATTTTCTTGTACATTAAAAGTTTTTTCAGAAATAATGGAGTATCGAACAGCTGTACGGGTAAGTGTTCACATAAACATATATAAATATATCTTTTGGTATATAAATATATACTGCTAAATAACAGATATATTATGCATATAATATTAAAATACATAGCTACATATATTGCCAGTATAATTGAGTTTCTTGCGCAATACATATATATATATATATATATATATATATATATATATATATATATATATATATATATATATATATATATATATATAAGACAGAGACATATGAAAGGACTATTTTGACGCATGAAAAAAATGTAAATACTATTTCTGGACAAGATATATTATGTGTGTTGTATGCTTAATTTGTTGTTAAATCGTCTCAGAACGATATATGATTCTTGCGATGGGGTTTAAGATTTCTGTGCGTGGCTTAAAGTTTATAAATGGAGTTCCTCCTTAAATAGTAGTGGAAGTAGTATTAATATTCGTGGTATCCATACTTCAAGCAGCGGTTTGATTTATCTCAAAGTTCATGTTAACTCGACGCTTCGTTTAATCTTTCGTTCTGTCACTTTCTCCTTACATTTTCTCCAACTCGACTCTCCACTGTCTCTTCTGCAACCTCTTGCCTCATTATGCTAATTATTTTCTGTCTCTTTCTCTTCCACCCAAACAAAAGACCGTCAGACTCTTTTGTCTTCCTATCTTCATAAACGCCTTTTTCAAGGTCATAACTACGAGTTTATATAGAAAATTTGATTTTTACCTGAACCTTAATGTTTAACTAATTTCCCCATGAGTAAACGAAATGCTGTATAAATTTCGCTAGTCTAAATCTACCCAATTCCAACTAATATATATATATATATAGTATATATATATATATATATATATATATATATATGTATACGTGTCTATGTGAGTGCGTTTCCCTAACTCTGTCACATTTCCTCCTACATCTGTCATTTTTTGAAATTCCTTTCATATCAACAAAATATGTGAAAAGCCAGTCCAAATCCTTCTTAACCATCTATTAAACATACGTCTCTACTTCTAGTATACAAATGCCTTCCTCAGTTCTTATTAATGCTCATTATGATTTACATTTTCATTGTCGTTACGACATGCTTTCAAAATTTATATTATATATATATATATATATATATATATATATATATATATATATATATATATATATATATATATATATATATATATATATATATATATATATATATATATATATATATATATACGTAGATATGTGTGTTTCCCAAACTCTTTGTGTCACATAAAGGCGTTGGTTAGATCCAGTGACAGGACCCAAAATTGTGAGTTCAATACACAGTTAAGAGTGGAGAACTTTCCGAGAAAAAGTAACAAGAGACAACTGATAACTGACATCCATTAAACATGGCGTGGAACTAGAACAGTCTACCCTGTGAGCGAATTAAATGTTTAATTTCGAAACACCTACTGAAAAACGAAATTAAAACTAAAGCTAGATGATGTAAGGTAATGTATGACCCATTGTTCTTTGTACATACATATGAAACTTTATTACTAAGGTTACATATATTTAAAATAAATAAATTAATTAATTAATACATAAAGTTTACTAAATCTGAGAAATGACTTAGATAGTTTTGTAGTCTGTGCCATTTATATTACTTAAATAATGTTTAAATATAATAGTTTAAAAATTGTAATTTACAAATACTTTGATATGGAAAAATAATTATACTTACTATAAGTAATTATCCTTCTGTTATAAAGTAATATAGTCAATTAAAACTAACAATGAAAATATTTTAAAATTTTAAAGTGGTAATTTTAAAATTGTAATTAAAATTGTAGTTAAATAAAATGAATTCTAACCTGTTCTTTGTACATACATATGAAACTTAATTACTTAGGTTACATATATTTAAAATAAATAAATAAATTAATTAATAAATAAAGCTTACTAAATCCGAGAAATAACTTGGCTAATTTTGTAGTAAGTTCCATTAATATTACTTAAATAATATTTAAATATAAAGGTTTAAAAATTGTAATTTACATATACGTGGATATTGAAAAATAATTTTACTTACTATGAGTAATATTCCTTCTGTTATAAAGTAATATAGTCTATTATAACTAACAATGAAAATATTTCAAAAGTTTAAAGTTTGTAATTTTAAAATTGAAACTAAAATTAAAGTTAAATTGAATGAATTCTAACCTAAATTTCTTTTAAATAATACTACACACACTAAATAGAATCCCAAAAAAACACATATAGTAAAATAAAATTAATATGAAATGCCATAAGATGTAAGCTTTTGAATGACCCATGTCCTTTGTACTTACATGAGAAACATTATATTACTAGGTTTATATAAAAAAAAAAAAAGATGTAACCTCATATACATACTTAAACTTGAATTAATACATAAAGTTTACTAATTCTGAGAAACGACTTAGATAGTTTTGTAGTCTGGGCCATTAATATTTACTTAAATAATATCTAAATTTAAAGTTTAAAATTGTAATTTACATATACTTTGATATGGAAAAAATTTATACTTACTATGAGTAATTATCCTTCTGTTATAAAGTAATATAGTCTAAATTAAAACTAAAAATGAAAATATTTTAAAATTTTAAAGTTGTAATTTTAAAATTGAAATTAAAATTGTAGTAAAATAAAATGAACTCTAACCTGTTATTTATACATACATATGAAACTTTATTAATTAGGTTACATATATTTGAAATAAATAAATTAATTATTAATAAATAAATAAAGTTTACTAAACCTGAGAAATGACTTAGCTAGTTTTGTAGTAAGTGCCATTAATATTACTTAAATAATATTTAAATTTAAAAGTTTATAAAAAAAAAAAAAAAAAATAATACATATATATTGATATGGAAAAATAATTTTACTTAATATGAGTAATTTTCCTTCTGTTATAAAGTAATATAGTCTATTAAAACTAAACAATGAAAATATTTTAAAATTTTAAAGTTGTAATTTTGAATTTGTAATTAAAATTGTAGTTAAATTGAATGAATTCTAACCTAAATTTCTTTTAAATAATACTACACGCATTAAAAAAGAATCCAAAAATAACACCTATAGTAAAATAAAATTAATATGAAATACCATAACATGTAAGCTTTTGAATGACCCATGTCCTCAGTACTTACATGTTAAATATTATAATAATAGGTTTATATATAAAAGAAAAGTTTACTGAATCAGTGAAATTAAGTAACCATTTCTGCTGTCATAGTCATATACAAAAAAAAAAAAAAAATGTAACCTCATATACATACTTAAACTTAATGTTAAAATAATCCTACATAATATAATGGATTCTAATACATTTAACTGTTCTTAAAAAGAATATAGTAAAATAAAAATTAAAAAGGAAAATATTTCAAATCGTAGTTAAATAAAAAGTATTAGGAAAAAATCTTTAATTTTAAAAAATGACGTTGAAATTTTTTTACCGTTAACAATTTTTTTTTATTTTTTAAAAAAAAAAAAAAAAATTCAGACGACATCCATTCAACTGATGTCAGGTTTCAGTGTAAAATACATCCCTACCCCTTACCAAATTGTAGCTAATAACTGATACAATGATACTGTCATAAGTAAAATCTAGACACCCCTTGTTCAATTTGAGTAGAATATTCTGTAACCATGGAAACGTGATTTTAGCTGTGTCTTTAAAACCCGGTAATTTTTAAAAAGTTACTCCAAAATTCGCTTGAAGATGAAATGGAACTAATGCTTTTAATTTAATTGCAAAAATAAAATTAGGAGTTTTTAGCTTCTATTTTTGAAACATGGTTGGAACTGTGTAGCGAAAATAACCATATTTTAAATCAATTAATTTATAATATTGATGCTCTGTAAATTTACATTGAGCACTATATTGTAAAAATAAAATATCTATAAGAACACCGGATTTTATATCTTACTGTTCTTTCTTTTTATTTATATACATATATATATATATATATATA